GTCCAAACGGTCGCAAATCACTCTAAGCCGCACATCACCCTGGTGACGCCGGCGCGCGGGAGGCCGCGCGCGAGCGGCCTCCCGCGCGACTTCGGCGCGACCTCGGCGTGGTCGCCGGGTCAGATCTGGACCGGGTCGGCGTCCTCGTGGCCCTTGAGCACGAAGCGGCGGCCGCAGTAGGGGCAGTCGATCTTGCCGTTGCCCTCCATGTTCAGCCAGACGCGCGGGTGCCCCAGCGGACCGTCGCCGCCGTCGCAGGCGACGATCTCCGCGTCCACGTGAAAGATCTCGGTGGGTTCGGGCATGGCTTGGACCTTGGCTCCGGCTGGCTGAAAGAAAAGCGGCGCGTTCGCGACGGCCGGACTATAACGCGCGCGCCGCGCCGTTCAACGGTCGGCCGTGGCGGCCGGCCGTGGCGGTCGGCCGTGGCGGTTGGTCGTGGCGTGGCCTCGCGTCGAAGCCTGGCGCGAGCGGCGGAGCCGCGCGGTGGTTCCATAGGATGGCAACCTGCTCTATGTAAGGCGCCGCCATGCCGAAAGATCAGCCCATGCCGACCCCGGCCCGCCAGCCCCGCTCCGACGCCGCCTCGCGCGAGTCCGACCTGCCCGACAACGCCGTCGAGGTGATCGGCCTGGGCAAGACCTACCGGGGCGCCGGCAAGGCCGGGCCGAAGCGCGCGCTGCAGGACGTCAGCTTGGAGATCCCGCGCGGCAGCCTGTTCGGCCTGCTGGGCCCCAACGGCGCCGGCAAGTCGACGCTGATCAACATCCTGGCCGGCCTGGTGACCAAGACCGAGGGCACGGCGCGGATCTGGGGCTACGACATCGACCGGCAGACGCGCCACGCGCGCGCCGCCATCGGCGTGGTGCCGCAGGAGCTCAACATCGACCCCTTCTTCACGCCGCGCGAGCTGCTGGAGCTGCAGGCCGGGCTCTACGGCGTGCCGCCGCGCGAACGGCGCACCATGGAGATCCTCGACATCCTGGGGCTGGCGGACAAGGCGCAGGCCTACACCCGCACCCTGTCGGGCGGCATGCGCCGGCGCCTGATGGTCGCCAAGGCGATGGTGCACAACCCGCCGGTGCTGGTGCTCGACGAGCCGACCGCCGGCGTCGACATCGAGCTGCGCCAGCAGCTCTGGAGCCGGGTGCGCGACCTCAACGCGCTGGGCACCACCATCCTGCTGACCACCCACTACCTGGAGGAGGCGGAGGAGCTCTGCGACACCATCGCCATCATCAACCATGGCCGGGTGATCGCCTGCGAGCCGACGCGCCGCCTGCTGCGCCGCCTCGACAGCAAGGAGCTGCAGGTGCACCTCGGCACGCCGATCGAGGCGGTGCCGGCGGTGCTGGAGCCCTTCCAGCCGGAGCTGGTCGGCGGCGACCACCTGGTCTTCCGCTACCGCACCAGCCAGAGCCCCGTGGCCGACATCCTCGACGCCCTGGCGCAGGCCCACCTGCAGGTGCAGGACATCCGCACCGAGGAGGCGGACCTGGAGGACATCTTTCTGCAGCTCACCCGCGGCGCCCACAGCCAGACCGGCGCGACCAGCCAGGGCGGCGGCGCCCCGAGTGGTGCCCCGAGTGGTCCCCCGGGCGGCGCCCCGAGCGGCGCAGGCTAGGGCGCATGCGGCCGGGCGCGCTGCTGGTCCTGGGGGGGCTGGTTCTGGGGCTGTTGCTGGCCGGCTGCGCCCGCCAGGCCCCGCCCGGGCCCGGCCCGACCGAGCCGCGTCTGGAGCTGGCCGACGCGCAGACCGGGCGCTTCGTCACTGCCGACGGCCTGGCGCTGCCGCTGCGAAGCTGGCAACCCAACCCCCATGCGCCGACGGCGGTGCTGCTGGCGCTGCACGGCTTCAACGACTACGGCGGCGCCTGGCGCACGCCGGCGCCGGCCTGGGCGGAGCAGGGCATCGCGGTCTACGCCTACGACCAGCGCGGCT